GTGTGTGTGTGTGTGTGTGTGTGTGTGTGTGTGTGTGTGTGTGTGTGAGAGAGAGAGAGAGAGGGCAAGCTTCACAACGTGACTGGGCGCTCGAGCAACGGCGCCCTCCACGATGTGCTTCACAACAACGGACACTGCGCTTGGACAGGCGCTTCACTTCACACGTCGCAACAACAGGCAACACGCGCTCCAACGACAACGGGTCTGTAGTTTTACAGAGCACAAACCCCTAGCCCGGGCCAAGAAACAGTACCCGTAGGTACCACAGCCCTCTCCAAAAGGCAAATGATCTGGGCCGTCGGAGTTACTGGGCCAACGGCCTGGACTGGCGCGCGATCTTAAGATCTGCGGGCCATGCGCCGATCCCACCCCTAGATACGGAAGGACCCAGGGCTGGGATCTCAGATTTATTACATGTCTCCGACGATCCAGGCCGTGGGCAGGTAGGACCGACGACGGCCTGGATCAGAGATTGGTAATAGTGTAGGGATAACAATGAATGGTTGAACCAGAACCAATGTCCGAATCCCTCTCCTACTGCCAGCACAACAACAGGTCCACCATAGCCATGACCTCCATCTTCCTCCACCTCCAACAGGAACTGGCTATGACAGGACTACTAGGGGCCCTGCCTGATGTTTAAAAGACAACGCAAAAGCAGCTGTCCTCTACTGTTCATGCTGCCATGCCTGACTCTGCCTTGAAGCCTTCTTGATGTAGCGCTAGCCCACTTGGGGCCATCCAGATGCTGCATCTACCAAGGAGATGGAGATGGCCCCCATCATAGCCAGGTAAGTACTCGGCCACCCTCCTCCCTCAACCCCTCCTCCTCACACCAGGTGCTGTCCACCATAGCCAAGGTGGAAGCCCTGGCGCTCCTCCCCCAGTGCTGCACACTAGCGCTGCTCCTCCAAGGGGTCCAGCAGCATGACGCCCAAACTTGCACGCAGCAAATGAGGCAGACCAACTTGCTCTGCCTGGAGATATAGCAGCCAACAAGCCTCTTGGGCGGTGACTTCCAGGCCACGCAGCCTCCAAGTAATTGACACCACCTCCGCTTCGACGGGAAACATCATTGCAGACCTGATATCTACTGCTACAGGCCCTAAAGTCTATCTACTAGACCTCTACCCTAAAGGTACTTCTTTTCTTCTTCTGCTTTAGCCTACCGCTGCTCAAGTGCTACCGGTACTGATAGTACCACTACTTGAGTGTGCCCTAAGCTACCCCTTCAGCCACTTGAGTGTTTTTCCCCGCTGCAACCCTCAAAGCCAAGGCCACAGGTAAGTACCGGGACCGTGGGCCTCACACACACACTCAGGCAGACGGGCGCTCGGACAGGCATACGCACCAGCAAGCACACATACACACAGACTTAGAAAACTCAGCAAAAAGCAGGAATCTTAGCAAAGCTCACATTCCAGCGACAAAACCCAGAAATCAGCAGTGTTCTCAGTCAGTGTTTTGGCAGGTCCTTTTTACCGAATGATTTGAGACCGACCGTCCACCACACTTTGACCCACTCCATGCGCAGAACGGACCACACACACACATCAAAGCACAGGTCAGATGTAGCTCAAAGGTAGTATCTGCTAATCAACTCAATTACAAATAATTCATTATAATTGTCTTTATACAAGAAGGTCCCCTACAGCCTATACACTTGCAAGGACAGAAAGCAGTGACCACATTCCTCGAGCTGTGTTACTTACAGGATCTCTCCATCAGCCAACAAGTCACCCAGGGTCTGGCCTGTTGGAAACCTCTCTCGTAGCATCAACTCCAGCCATATCCACGTTCGTTTCTGGTTTTCAGAAGGCAACATGCAAGCATGTACAGTAAAACTGAGAACACAGTAATGCTTCAACAAATATGCACACATACCAATTTTTGTACAAAAGAACAGAACTACACCGCATCTTACGGACTCCAGAAGCCCACATCCATCTGCACCTTTCCCCTCTGACTCAAGCCATGCATGCCCACAGAGGCACAAGTCCACCTGTCCGCACAAAGGGCGACCCGTCAAAGGACTCTGGTTCAAACTGAGGGACATTTACAACACACTAGCTTACCTGTTGTAGCTCCGCCCACAGAAAACGGAAATTTTGCAAACAAAAGCAAAGAGCATGGGGTTGTGGTGACCTGAGTACAGTTGGTTAGCAAGCAGTAGCAACTGCCCTGTTTGTTTGAGATACTTTCACATTTGTTACCTTGTCAGCATATCTATCCCTTGGTGCATAAGAAGTATTCTCTATCGGATGTCAGAAAATAGGCAGTTCTTTGCATTTGGGGGTTTCTCTTTACACTTTGTTTCTTCTTTTTCTGGGTTTAACGATAAAAGCAAGCCACTCCAAACGACCTCTGTGTGTGTGTGTGTGTGTGTGTGTGTGTGTGTGTGTGTTTTGAATATGCATCACAACCACCCAGACGAGCAGATCCAAAATCAATGCATATTGAACCCTTTTGCAGACGACGGAAGCCCTTGAGTTGAGATAATCCAACAATGAAACAGTTTCACCTCTATATAGCAAGCAGCATGAAGTACAATAGAGGCATGTAAACCACTTTCTTAATTGTGTCCACGTTTGCTTTCTTTGGGGTACCCCTTTCATTTGTTCTTGCAGCTCCCCCTTTACCGTCCCTCTCATGTACAAGGCTCGTCACGTTGATTGTGGATGAGCGTGAGCTGCCCACATACCAGTGTGCCATAACAGCCCACTTGCACACATTGAAAGGAGGCAAAGCAAAGGTGGAGGTATATTCCTGTTCATTTCTTCTCAGATTTTCAACTTATATTTTGTCTGTTCTCTTAATGATGCTCATTCGTATGTATTACTAGTAATACACAAGAGAAGGCAGGAAGGGAATGGGAGGTGGAGTTATGACAGGGTTCTAAATGGTGACCGCCGGGGCAGACCACTCTAGAATGGCACATGAGGCCAGTCAGAGTGTGGGTTGCATGAGATTTGAGGAGCAGTCGTTGCCTACGGTAAGTGGATCCGCCATAGTAGCTCTCCATATGGAGCGCCAGTTCTCTTCATACGGAAGAAGAACAACGACCTACGATTGTGCATCGACTACCGTAAGCCCAATGCGCAAACTGTCAAGAATGCGGGGCCTCTTCCTTGCATCGACAATTTTCTTGAGCGATTGGGCAGCGCAACATACTTCTCTAAGTTGGATTTGAAGTCGGGATACCATCAGATTTCGATCCGGCCGAACGATCGCTATAAATCCCCGTTTAAGACGCGGTATGGGCATTTTCAATGGGTGGTCATGCCTTTTGGCCTCACCAACGCCCCATTGACATTTCAAACAGCAATGACCAACGAGTTTTGTGCGATGTTGGACCGGTTCGTGCAGGTCTACTTAGACGACATTCTTGTCTATAGCCGGTCATTGGAGGATCATCTTGAGCACCTTCGACGAGTGTTGGAGACGCTCCGCTACGCCAAGCACAAGGCCAACCGCGACAAGTGTGAATTTGTCCGGCAAGAGCTGGAATACTTGGGCCATTTTGTTACACCGGAGGGCATCAGTCCGCTATCGGACAAGATTCAAGCCATCCAAGAGTGGCCGGAGCCGCGGAACGTCACGGATGTCCGTTCGTTCCTTGGCCTTGTCGGCTACTACCAACGTTTTATCAAGGGACTCTCGAAGATTGCGGCCCACTTGTCCAAGCTTCAATGCGAGGATTGGTCGTTTGACTTCGGGGAGGATGCGCGGGAAATCATTTTTGGCTCTCAAAGCCTCGCTATTATCTGCGGAGGTCTTGCGCATATACGACCCACTATTGCCAATGCACATCACTACGGATGCGTCCGGCTATGGCATCGGTGCCGTCCTCGAGCAACACGATGACGTGGACTGGCACCCGGTCGAGTACTTCAGCAAGAAAGTGCCCGTCGTGCACTCCATTGACGATGAATGGAAGGAGTTCCTCGCCTTCGTCCACGCGCTCAAGCGGTGGCGGCACTTCCTCCTTGGTCGAAGCCAATTCCGATGGGTAACGGACAACAATCCGTTGGTCTTCTACAGGACCCAAGACACTGTCAATAACACCATCGCCCGTTGGATGGCTTTCATCGACCAATTCGACTTCTTTCCCGATCACATTCCCGGGAAGTCGAACCGTTTTGCGGATGCTCTTTCACAGCATCCGGATCATTGTACCGCAATCTACTCGACCTTCGAGATCGACGACGATCTGCGGGACAGCTTCATCCGCGACTACCAAGCCGACCCCGAGTTTCGCAACAAGTACGCGAATTGCTCCTCTCCTAATTCGGTGCCTTCTCACTACCGGATCCAAGAGGGGTACTTGCTTGTCCACACGCGGGGGAAGGACCTTCTTTGCGTACCGAGTGACTCTCACTTGTGTACATTGCTTCTTGGCGATTTCCACGATGCTCCCGCCACCGGACACTTTGGAGTCAATCACACGATTGGCCGACTTCGCGAGCGATTTTGGTGGTCCGGCCTTCTCGGCGACGTCACACGCTATTGCGAGTCATGCGAGGTTTGCCGACGCTGCATCCCACAACCATCGTCCGTACGGCGAGCTGCGACCGCTACTGGTCCACTTGCGCCGAAGGGAAGCGATTGCCATGGACATTACCGGCCCGTTCCCCAAGCACAAGACCGGTGTGGATGGGATTCTCACTGTGGTCGACCGACTCACCAAGTTTGCCATGTTTTTGCCTTCCCACTATCATGCCAAGGCACCGAAGTTGGTCAAGATTCTTTATGCCAATTGGATTCGAACCAAGGGTTACCCCAAGGAAATCATTTGCGACCGCGACACTCAGTTCATGCCCGATGTTTGGTTGGCGCTCATCAAACGATAAGGCTCATCTCTCAAGCCAAGTTCGGCTCGCCACCCCCAAACCGATGGCCAAACGGAGAGGGCGCATCAGACCGCACAGGTTCTCCTTCGCACTCTCATCCGTCCTGACCAAAAGGATTGGGTTGAGCGGCTGCCGGATGTCGAGTTGGCATACAACTCAGCCATCCACCCGGTTATTGGGATGTCGCCCTTCGAGTTCGAGCACGGCTCACCGGTCACTTCGCCGTTGGACACAATCATTCCACGAATGATCAAGAGTGACGACCATCTTTTTTTCTTGCGTCGGATGCAAGAGCTACTTGTCAAGGCACGCGACCAGATGGCCAGGACGCAGCAACGCATGAGCCAACAGGCCAATCGCCAGCGTCTTCCTTGCCCATTCCGCGCCGGCGATCTCGTTTGGGTTTCCACCACGGAATTCAGCCTTGAACAAGATATATCTCGCAAGCTCCTCCCGAAATGGATGGGGCCTTGGCCGATCGTGGCACCCGCTGGGGATGCACCCGAAGGACCATCCTTCACCATTCAGGTGCCCGCCCACTTGCCCGTCTACCCGGTCTTTCATTGCTCCAAGTTGGCTCTTTACACGCCAGCGGAACATGACGATTTTCCTGGGCTACGATCGCAAGACCCACCCTCTATGGACGGTTTTCAAGAGGTCAGCGACATCATCTCCCAGCGGCGCTACGGCAACAGGCCAACCGAGTACTTGGTACACTTCGCGTACTGCAGTCACAGAGTTGACCGTTGGTTGACCCGTGCGGAACTCCAAGCAACAACTCTAGATGTTCTCGCACGCTACGAACGCAAGATGCAAGGCAAGCCGGTATCTTCGGCTCCACGTCGCACCCGCATCTACGTTCCACCTTCAGATCGTCAGCTTCGCCCTCGCCCCGGTTTGACTTCATAAGGAAAGGGGGGTGTTACATTGATGCGCCGGCAACAGGCTGCACAAGCCCCCTTTCAGGACCGTGACGTTTTCAGGCCAAAAGCCTGAAAACAAGGGCCTACAGGCCCCGTGTCGTTTCAGCTTGAAAGCCTGAAAACAAGGGCCTATAGGCCCTGTGTCGTTTCCGGCTAAATCAGGGCCGGAGTGTTTTCAGCCTGAAACTGAGAGCCATTTTCAGGCCCTCATCAATTCAACCCGCCCTGAAACTCAGGCAACGAACTAGGGTTTTAGCACAGGCCATTTCGGGCCTGTTTTCAAGACAACCCCTTGTTGAGCTTCAACGCCAGGGTCTGGCACGTTTCGGCATTGGCAAGAGCAGCCTCCTGGACGGGCCAGCACTATATAGGACTGGCCCGCCCTGCAGGCCGGCAGGTAGTTCCTAGGTACTTCCAAGGCACTTCACGTGCAGTTCAGGAGGCAGGAGGTAGTCTTCAGGATTCGACAGCAGCACTTTGGAGGAGCGCTGCAGGAGTAGTTGTAGCGCTAGCAGTAGTCTTCAGCGTTGGGCACTAGGAGCGTTAGCAATAGTCTTTAGCGCTGGGCGCTCTTAGGAGTTAGAGTAGTACTGGAGAGAGAGAGATTGGCGGAGGCCAGGGATACTTACCTGCAGCGCCATAGCTCCAGCTTCGCCTTCGAGGTGCCTGCAAAACAGTGCCAACTTCAAAGGTTAGTACCTGGCATATGAGAGAGAGAGGGTTCTCCTTCTTCCTCTTCTCAGTCCACCATCTCCCTCTCACCCTCTCGCTACCTGACTTCACTGCATCAGCAGACTATGAGAGAGCAGGCTTGGTGACATTTGGATCCAGACTCGACATTGCACTTCAGACATTTTGACGAGGGATTATTTGGGACTTGTAACAAAGACTTGGTGTTGACGACATTCCCATCTCCCCCCTCCTCTTCGTTTGTTTCCCCTCCTCTTCATCTGTGCATGATTTGGACCTGGCGCATTCTTCCTGTGTGTAGTGCCAGGCCCCTTCACACCTTGTGATGAGGATGATGTATGTTTGGCCTGCGTTGCAACATTGATTGGGCTAGTCATTTGTATTCTAGCGTTCTGCTGCACTGTCTTGCAATACGTGATAAAGGTCAGTCTCGATCAGGTCAGGACTTGTATCTAAGTCTTCCGCTACGCCACAAGGCGCCATTTTGTATGTATCAGAATGCACATTGCTTGTTAAGATTCCACTTGCACTGCACTGTCCATTCAGTCCTTTTTATCACATTGTGGATCCTCGGTTTTATACATACATCGCCCAACTGGGCATGTAACAGTCTACCTAAGTGGTTAACTCACCAGTCAGTTGGTGCCTCAATATTTGTACATGGGTGCAACCATTAGGGCTTGCCTAGCTTCAAGCCCGAGCTTAATGCAAGGAATATGAGCGGGAGTGATATACAGAACACCAAGTTAGAAAATCATGCAGAAGTCCAGATAGTCATGTAACAAGCAAAGAGCTCAAATGCACCAAGAATCCGTCCAAATAAAAGCAATACAATGAACTCGTGAGCCGAAGTTCAAGCCCTCAGGCCACACCAGCA